AAAGCTTGTACATAGTGAAGGAAACAACAGAGTGAAGAGACAAACTACAGATGGGAAAACAATTTAATACAAGACATTTCAGTCGAAACATTAACACATAGACTATAGAAAGAAATAAAAAATTAGACTACACAAAAGAAAATAATTAAATGAAACTTCTCAGAAGAAGTAATACAAATGGCCAATAAGGACATGCAAAAAGTTCAACACCACTGGGCATTAGAAAACTGCAAATTAAAACAATATCGAGATTCACCTTATTCCAAAAACATATGGCAACTATCAAAATCATGTAATAAATTCTGGTGAGGTTGTAGGGATAAAGGAATACTTCTTTATACACTGTTTATGGGAATGTAAAGCAGTGCAGCCACTATAGAAATCATGTGGAGATTCTTCATAAAAGTAAAACTAGCAAGTACATTTGATCTGAGTATTTTCCTTCAAGGTATCTTCCTAAAAGAGTTCAAGACATCACTTACAGTGATACACACATACCCATGTTTATAGCAGTACAATTCAGAGTGCCTATATTGTACAAGTGGCCTATATGCTCATCCACAGGTGAATGGATAAAGAAAACGTGGTATTTATACACAGTGGAGTACTATTCTGCCATGGAAAATGATAAACATCAGTCATTTGTAGGAAAACTGATGTACTTGAGACTATAGTATTATGAGGAATAAATCAGACACACAAGACTAAATATTGTATGCTTTCTCTTATAGGAGAAACCCAAAATGTAGATAAATTATGGGGCAAAATAAAAGACAGTGTAACACAGGAAGACAGAGCTTTTCAAATGGGAAAGGAGCCAAGAAAATGGAGGAAAGGTGAAAAGAGGGGAAGGGAGGGGATTCAAACAGTTTGTTGTACACTTTTACCAAGTACCAACAATGAATGCAGTTATGATATACCGCAAACAGGTACTAATGCAACAGAAGAAAGAGAACAAGGCCATGCCAGCGCCGACTGTGTGGGGATCTGAGTGTCACAGTCTGCCTGTACACTTGCTCCCCTACACGGCACTCTCGTGACCAGTGCAGTCTGCTGAAGCACCGTGCAATCAATTATTTAAAATATTTCTAAAACTCAGAAAGTAATGTGAAAAGCTCGTGAACAATGGGGCCACATTATTATCTGTCCATGAGCCCCCTAGACACACATGCCTCACAGTATACAAAGAACGGTGACAGCTGTGGAGAGAGTCTCTCCGTGAAGGCGTAAGTGGGTCAAAGCTGGGCAACCTGCACAACTGTTGAGAGGAACATGAGTGTAGGAACAGGGAAAGGGGATGCAACCAGAACCTCTGCAGTGAGTCCTGGTCTCCTGTGAGCCACAACAGCACACGGTGAAGTAATGAACTAAGACAGAAAACAAGACTTAGAGGAGAAGCTGAGCTTCGGGCCTGATCAGTGCTGCTCTGGGCAGAGAAGACCAAAGACCCTGAGCTTGCCCCACCTTTATCTGGAGTAACAGCCGTCTCAGAGGGTGGTGGCGATGATCCTAGCACAGTGAGGAATTTATGCAGATAAGGATCCTAGAGCATGAGGAATTTATGTTGAGTAGGAATCTGTCCCCCACCCCCAGGACATCTTCAACTGATGTAATCCTGTCCTGGAGCAGCACAACATCACAGGACCCCTGAGGTTTGAGCTGTGACTGGAGGCAAAAATGGAGTCATGTCTCAGCATGCCACAGCTGGCCTCTGGGCAGGAAAGCTAGGCCTAACCGTCATTTAAATGTGAAATAATTTTTTCCAAAACTTATGTAGAAAAGCTACCAGTAGATGAGCATATTTGGTTTCTGTCACCAATGCTAGACAGAAATTGAGGACAACGTCGGAACATTTTCCTTAATTGACGATATCCAGAATGTGTGCAATAGAGGTTGTTTTTTTTCCTGTACTCTTCCTAGGCACTCTGCTCTGACATGCTACCAGGCAGATTTACCTATATCTGGATTCTGGGACAAGTTACTGTGGCTAACAATTAGATTTTCCACTTCAGATTATGTAGACTGTGTGTCAGAGTTTTGGAACAGTACATGATTTAGGAGCTTTCTGTTTGTATATTCTTTCTCTCCATCGCCCCTTTTGTTTATTCTAAGTCTTACCACAGACTGAGAAACTCAGAAAACATGCCTTCATAGTCAACTGTATTACAAAAACTTGATTTTTCCTTCATTATACCATCATAGAAACTGAATCAGTATCAACTATTGCACGTGGTCACTGAATGAGCAGCTGCATTTAAATATTTAAGATCCTGGATAAGATGAAAGTGATCAGTAGCATGACCACTCTAAGAAAGAAAAATTAATTGACCCTTAAAGGTAGGTCAAAAACACAAACCTGAATTTCTCAACCCAGGTTTTTTGCTGGCAGTCACTAGGTCTTCATCAGGTCTTATCACTGGTCAGGAAGTTTTCTGGGAATGAGACTCACATGAGCCCTTTCTTAGGGCACACACCTTGCCTGTGAAAGATTATAACCTTTAGCTGTGTAGAAAGGGAAAGAAATAAAACTGCCCATGTGTGAGATGGAAGAAGAGTCTGGGGTGCATTTCGGCACCTCTGGCTAAATTCCAAAAAGTGGACTGAGAGAGGCTTGTGGAATAAAGAGAGAGGGGATGCTACGGTGAGAAATATTTTAAGTAAACCGAGGACCACCGAAAAGGGAGGGGATGCTCTTGGTTTTATGAAATACACAGTATGGTGATATATATGACTTACAAGGAAAGAAATCGTTTTCAGAAGTATTTATAGAACTGAATACAAAAAGTTCTCTTTCCGGTGACTACTAATTGTTTGGATTTGCTCATGTCATTTGCAATAGGTTTTACTGATGGGTAATGGAAGTAAAGCTATTAAAAGTTATTTTCAATCCCCTATGTAGATATTGTCATGGTTTAAGGATTGAGTTGAAAATTACGAAAGTGCTGAAAAGGGGAACCAGGATTTAAAAGCATCTCTTCTAGTCACAGGACAGGCTCAAGCTTGCCCTGCGTCTCTCAGCATTGCGGCACCACAGAGCACGCTGGTGAGTCAGTTTCTCTTTGCTAACGATGCACAGGGGATCAGAGCCTGAGATTGAAGGGGTGGAGGGAAGTGACTTTGGCCCTGGATTGAGCGGTCTCCCCCTGACAAGGCCACCAGACACAACAGGAGCCTTTCCCCCTCTATGGTGGAAGGGGCTGTGTCTACTGGACACTGCCATGTGCAAAGAGATTTTCATCTTTACAAGACTTCTTGTAAAGCCTGAATTCTTTTGCATTTCTTCATCCTTATTCATTTGCCCTCACTCTAAATATAATTTCATATTGTTAAATTTTATACACAACATATATTTACAGAAGCATCTCTCCAATTTGTGCTAATAAATGAAATAAAAATATAGGCTTTATGTCAGTTTCTATTTCTTCTCATAAACTTGAGAAAGCATCTGGGCACTGTTTGCATGCTGCTGCTTTAGAGGATTCAGAGAAAATGGTAGTTACTAATCTCTTAACACCTCACAAACAACTTCTGGAAATAATTACTGACTGAAATTCGATGTTACTGGTGTCCTCCGAAAGCCAGAATTTCTATGCTATGAATTCCTCACTCTAGAGCGACGGTGTGAGGGTCCTGGTGGCCATCAGACCCAAAAGACGTCATCGCTGCTCGTTCCCTCAGCTGTGAGCCCCACAGAGCACCGTGAGGGAAGAAGCGGGAGGCGAGGGCCGGACTCAGAGCCACGCCGGGCCGGGCCAGGGTCCGCAGCGCTGCACAGGGTGACCTGGAGCTCCGCATCTAGAGGCCTCCGTCTGGGAATCACCTCTACTACAAACACTGCCCCTTTCCATTCTCTTGATGTCAAGGCTCAGGGAAAGATTTGAGCTTAGCAAAAATGAACGTTTCCCACAAATTTGTTGTGATATTCTCCTGAAATTCCATCTGTTGCCAGAGATGATAGGATACATACTGCTGCTTAACTTCTGATTTTCCCCGATGCCATTTTTCTCTCCCATGTCATTGAATCCTCATGATCTTTTAACACATACCGCAGAAGCTGGGCTTTACTGAGTGTAGTTTACAGTATCACTTCAGCTTTCATAAACTACTTCTCATTCTCTATGGATGAGGAAATAACTGGCTTCAAATGTGATTTTTACTAGGAAACATAATCCAAGCTTGCTTCCCACGTTTAAACATCGTGCCTGTAAATGGTAGCCTCTCATGTTGCGCAGCTGTGCCACATCCTGACAGCTTTGAGCTGCCGATGACACGTCTGATCTTTTCCTTCTCGGGGCCCCATGACCCCTCTTTCCTCTCTCCCCTCCCCCAGTGATGTGCGTCAGTCTGTCCTGCTTTTGCTGTGTATTTGCTGATGGTCTTCTAATCTATGGGCACAGCTAACCCCCGTTATTACGTGTGTGCGCGGCCCTCCTTTAGAATCGCGCGCTGTGCAGAAGGGCGCCCCGACTCCGAATCCCGTTAGGAGGGCTTCCTCGTGGTAACATGGTGTGCACATTTCCTCTGCCGAATTCAGGACAAAGTCTTGGATTTCAGGCGTTCTCCAGTTCTCTCCCCGCCCCCCATCTTCCTCTCCCTGTCTCCCTCTTATTTCTACCCCTCTTCTAAACAGAGATACCACATCTAATCTGTCTCCCCACGGATACAGCTCTGCAAGTTTGAAGGACTTATACAACCTAATCTTGATAACGCGGTTCCAGACATTTTTATTCCGTCATCAGTTGTCCTGTCTGTGTCCTGAAGACTTTTCCTTGCCCATTCCCAGTGCACTACAAGGCCCTCCAACAGCGGGCGGGAGATGACACAGAACGTGGGAGGCTCTCAGTTCACAGGTGGCCCCTTCTAGCTCTTTCTTCAGAAGTAAGACAGCGCTCTAGGGTCTTTTTGTTCATGTTGTATGTTTGTTTGTCTAATCTGAGATAGGCTCTCACTGTGTTGCCCAGGCTGGGCTCTGACTCCTGTACTCAATCGGTCTTCCTGCTTCAGCTTCTGGAATAGCTAGGGCCACACACAGGCGCCTGCTCAGCTTCTGCAGCTTCTCTTCTATGGGCAGAAATCCCTAATCATGAGAGTTCTCCCCCACAGCCCCATCACCTCGCAGAGGCCTCACTGCCTAACGCCATCCCCCAGGGAATGAAGATCTGAGTACGTGAACAGATGGGGTACGCAAGCACTCAGTGCCAGAGGACCCCAGTTCCAGGCACCAGACCACTCTAGAAGCCTCTGCCCCATGCCCAGCCATCTGTTCAACTAGCAAGGCTGCCTACCCTGCCTTAGCTGGCCTTTCTCAGAAAACCAGAATAGAGGCCTTCGAAGAGAGAGAAGGAAGGCGCATCTGAGATGGGAGGAGTGGCGACCCTACAACAGGTGGCCCTCTGGTTTAGAGGTCTCTGAATCAAGTGGTCTCAGGAAGACCCAGGAGAGAAAGCCAAGAGCAGAGAAGCAGCTGGAAAGAGTGCTTCGAGCTAAGCGACTGCATTCCCTGTGCCGCCCAAAGGGAGCTTGATCTCCACCCGTGTTTGTTGCCTGTGACATCCGTCCATACAGCTGTGCTATTCGTGATCTGCCCCGAGAGGCATCATTACTCACCCAGCCACCCACAAGTGAGCCCCCTGATAAGCTGAACAGAGGTGCTGTCTATTCTGTGTCCCCAGAGTGCCACACCGTGACAGCCTCTGGAATGTCCACAGATCCCACCACCCTCCAGCTCCCTGGACTGAACTTTATTCCTTAGCATGGGCCTAGCAGGTATTCCAGCTAAAAGGCCAGTGAAGGGGATCAAAAGGAGGAGACAGGTTTCAGACACATTTAGACATAACCTGGTATGGCAAGAGAGCAAACACACAGGTTCCAAGTATCTAAGAAAGTAAATGTTAATAGAATGCTTGGTAGAAAATGTGGGTTAATCTTCAAAGGCATAGTGCTCTATCTGCACACAGTGGTGCCTTTCATGAATATGGAAAAGAATCTAGTAGGCGTGGATTCTGAGTTGGGAAACTTCCTCCCAGGTGGAGGACCTGGAGAGAGCGAGAGGCACAGGGGGCTGTGCTCCCGACTGAAGATCAGAGCACCAGTGCCCGGGGCCAACAGTGGCATCCTTTCCTCAGACACACAGCAGACACAACATACCAAACAGCCCGCCTTTCTCCTGTAAGGAACGGGACTGTTTACATCCTTATCTCTTTGCAGGGTTCCCTGCCTTCAAAGGTCATAACGGTTGGTTCTAGTGACTTTGATAAATGGCTTCTTCTAGTTCTCAGGTTCAAAAGCAAGCACAGAAGACAAATGGGTGTGAAAGATACCACGCACTGCAGAGCATCTGCGTCTGTGCGCGAGCATTCTGCCTAAAAAACACACGCCCTTGACTGCAGCCAAAGTCAAATCCTCATGTGCCTTTAATCTGGGCAGGAAAAAGGCTTCTAAGCGAAGGTGAAGGAGGAAAAGAAAGATGCAATCCCTAACAAGAAAGCACAACTTTCAAAAACTGATAACACAGCATTTCATTTCCAAACAAATGAATATAGAGAGTGTGCCAGAAATATATATAAACTTCAGGAAAAGGAAAATAGTATATTTTTCAACAGATGGTGTTATCCTGGTGTGGGAGACCCTAGAGGATGTTATGTATGGCAGAAAACCACTACACTGTTAGCCCCTAGAGAAGCAACTGAAAGTGCATGTGCAGCGGTCTCAGTGACCAAGGTCACCCCAGCAGAAGTCCGCTACCCCAACGAGCGTCTGGAAGCTCCTGGCCGCCACTTGGAGCACCTGTTGTCATTGTAGAGGCCAAAGGTAACTCGTACTAATCTGTGGCGTCTCGATAAATTTAGTATTGAAATATTAATACAAGTTTTTATTTTCCTGAAGTGTATATACATTTCTTTGGCAGACTCTGCATTTTGTCTAATTATATTTTTTGTAGTGGCGGAAATTGAACCCAAGGCTTTCGCATTGAGCTACATTCCCAGCTCTTTGTCATGTTTTGTTTTGAGACAGGGACTCACTAATTTACTAAATTGCCAGTCTAGGATCTAACTTTTGATCTTCCTCTTCAGCCTCAGAGGGTTGGGGTTACAGGCATGGGGCACCAACCCAGCCGAACTGTATCATATTTTATGGATCTTGCTACTAGTGAGCACTCAATGTATCTTCACACAACTTGTAAGTGAGCCTGCGGGAGCTGGGGATTTAGCTCAGTAGCACCACTCCTGCCTTGCAAGCGCAAGGTCCTGAGTTTGATCTCTAGTACAGGGGGTGGGGGAGCACCCACAGCAGCAGTTCTTTCACTCAATGAGGAAAGCAATGACTGACCTTTGGCTTTCTAGGAAGTCTTTGGAATCCCAGGTGATCTGATTATGCCAAAGGAACTCCTGGGCTGTTCAATGATGTTTCTGAGTGTTTCTGGCTGTTTATTGCCTGAAAGAGAATAGCATTTGTAACAGTAAGAGAATTACTCTCTTATTTATCTCCCCATAAACAGTTTTTTAATTCCCCTGAGTTTAAGAAAACCAATGGTTGAGGCTACCTGGTAAGCTTGTTGTTTTTTCAACAGAAGGAAAGCCATCTGTACAAGGCAAGCACACACAAAGAGGGAATTCCAGTAAAAACAAAAACATAAATGTGAAAGAAGGTTGAACCATGTTCATGGCTCTGAAGTGGTCCGTCTTTTATCATAAAGATGAAAGGAAATGTTTATCTGTAGTCCAACACCTGCCCTGTAATTATTGGAGGAAACTCAAAGCTCCGTTTCCTGCACAGTGTTTGGGTTCTAACTCAAGCCACCAGTGTGAGGTCAGCGAGTGTCACCACCATGGAATCTCCCCTGGGTCCAGGCCAGCCAATGGGGAGGCAGACAGGACAGGGGTGCCCAGCTCAGAGCAGCTTGTGAGACCGGTCCCCTGCCACCAGGGCCAGTGCCGATCAGAGAAGGCAGAGAGTGAGATTCATGGTAAGAAGGCAACAGCCAAGGCAGCAGAGTTACGTCAGGGGCTGGGTCGGTTCAAAATGTCTGGATTCTAAGCCTCATCTCCGGTTTCCTCCATATTTGAGCTTGATCAAGTCACTTGACCACGCTACGCTTCGGTTTCCTCCATGTATGAAGTGAGGAAGAAATAGTACTGACCCCATGGGGTGACTGTGATAAAATAATGCATTCCGTGTATAACTCAGAAAGAAATAATGAATTCTAAATAGACATCACTTTTAAAAGTGTATTGGTACATTTTAGGTGTACAGCATGATGTGCCTTTGCAGGATGTATCTTGGTTTCTTCCCCCCTTCCCCTGCCCTCCTTTCAACCCTTCTACCCCTCCCCATCTACAAAGGCTTTGTATCCATTTTTCCTTTTCTCATATGTTTCCCTTCTGTCCTTTCCCCTACTCCTCCCACTTCCTCCTTCCCTTTAGACCTTTTCTTCCTGTTTCACCTTATCTACACATTTTGTTCATATCTACACTTTCAGTTTCTTGCATCAGAGAAACTATTTGGTATTTACACATGTATGTCCTGTTTATTTCACTTAAGACTATGCCCTCAATATGCATCCATTTACCTATAAATGACTAGTTTCTCATTCTTTATGGCTTAGTAGTACTCCATTTTATTTTTTTTAAAAACAGTGTCTTTATCCAGTCTCCAGTTGATGAGCAATTGCGCTGTTTCCAAGTTTTAGCTATTACAAACTGCTGCTATGGACATGGGTATGCATATATCGGTGTACTATGACTCTTCTAATTCTTTTGGGAAGATACCCAGTAGGGGAATAGCTGGGTCAAATGGGACCTTCTAATCCTAGTTTTTTAAGGTGTCTTCATATTGATTGCCACAGTGGTTGTACCAGTCTACACTCCTACCAGCAATGGAGAAGGGCTCCTTTATCCCCACAGCCCCTCCAGCATTTGTTATTGACTTCTTGATAGCAGCCATTCTTACTGGGGTGAGGTGGAATCTCAGTCTTGTTTTCATCTGCATCTCTCAAATGACAAGTGATGTGGAACATTTTTTCATATGTTTATTTTCTATTTCTACTTCTTTGTCTGAAAAGTGTCTGCTCGTTTCAGATGCCTATTTTTGGGTTGGGTGTTTAAAATTGAGGGGGTCTGATATTTTTAAGTTCTTTATATATTCTAGATAGTAGTCCTTTGTCTGAAGAACAGCCAGTAAAATTTTTTTCCCACATTGTAGGTTGTCTTTTAGCTCTGTCGGTTTCTCTTGCAATGCAGAAGCTTTTTAATAGGATGAGATACCACTTGTTGATTCTCTGTGCTAGTTCCCATGCTACTGAGGTTTTGTTCATAAAGTCTTTTACTAGCCAATGTCTTCAAGAGTTCTACCTAACCTATTCTGAAAAGAGCAAAAACATCACTTTCCTTCCTGGGGAAGCTGCTTAGCAGTTCCCAGTGGGCCCAGAACATCGTGATGCAGGAACAGCTTCTGTACACTGCAGCGAAACTCTTACCAAACCAAAGACAAAGCAAGCTTTGAAGGAACAGGGGACCAGTGCAACAGGAAACACTGTCCGATCAAAAACCTCAGGAAAACAGGAAAAGGAATTCTCAAAGGGATAGAGAGCAGCAGAGATGCGACGGCCACGGGGACAGCAAGCACAAGCGCTGTGGCCATGGGCTCTGGAGAGGGCCAGGATGGGTGCTGCGCCCCAGCGCTTGCTTCCCCAGAGGTCTGAGAGGCAGGAAACTTGAGCTCACGTCTGGCCAAGCAGCAGCACTTCTCTGGATGGAGACGCACGGACAGAGTACAGCTGACCACTTATGAGGCAAAACGGAGATGTACGCGTCTGCATCCCCCTCTTCTTAGGTAGAGACAGAGGGGGCCCCTCTGGAGCTGCGTCTTGCCTATTCAGGAGGAAGCGGAGCTCGCTGCAGGGAGCCATCCCCACAGCATGGGCTCACCGCCTCTCCCCTGCAGGACTGAAGTCCCCTTTCTCCCAGAAGCCTCTATGGCCACTGTGGGGTCACTGTGGGGCTGCAGCTAGCTCTGCCCTAGGTGGAGCCCGAATACCACAATCCAGCAGGCTCCCTTTCTGGGGTGGGGTCAAACCACAGCAAGTACAAGACGTATGCTCACAGGACAGGAATCTCTGGAGCATGGCAGGGGGACAGTTCTGGGCGCAGGGGGCCGAGGTGCAGAGTCCCAAGGAATCTCTAGTTGGATGGTTTCTGGCTAGAAAACTGAGCAGATCCCCAGTTCCCCACATGGTGAGTCTCCCCCTTTGGAGCATAAGGCTCTCTCTCACTCTCCTTTTCCAGGCTCAGGAGCACCCACCATGGCTTCCCTGGGCAGCGACTTTCCTCTGTGACATCACAAGGCAGGGTTGCTGTGGGGCCTCTCACCTCTCATTGGGCTCTGTACTGGTGGGTGACTTGGCTCCCCCTCCACTGGTCCATCTGCTGAGACTCATCCCCTTGCCGCTCCTACCAGGGTCGGAGGCCCAGAAATGGGAGCGCTCAGGGCCCCCCAACCTGAGGCGGTCAGGCTGCTTCGAGTCAGTCAAAAACCCCAACTACCTAGGCGTGCCGGGACACACCTCTAAGCCCAGCTACTCAGGGTGCTGAGGCCGGAGGGTCACACATTCTGGCCTGGGCAATTTAACAAGACACTGTCTCAAAATAAAATACAAAAAAGATTGAGGATGTAACTCAGTGTGAATGAAAGTTCAGCGCCACAAAAAAAAAAAAAAGAAAGCAAACGCACGAGTGTGTTTTTGCTCTTCAGTGCCTCTTGCAGTCTCATGCTTCTCTCTGGAACAATTTCCCTCTGCCTGAAGAAGCCCCGGTGTTCCTGTGTCGCAGGACCGGGTAAAATCCCCCACGGCGCCTCGGTGCGTACCGTCCATAGCTCGAGGGCGGCCCCTGGTGGGCATGCAGCGCAGAGACACATTTCTCGGCAGGCGGCGGACGCTGCAGTTCCGGGTCCTTCCTGACCTTCAGAGTTGGCTTCAGTTTTGCCGCTGCCTCTGCGGTGAACGTGTCTGCGCGGCGCTGGGTGATCTCAGTGGTGCTCTGCAGCTGGTCCATGCTGTAACTCAGCGGGACCCGTGACCCACTGCTTGCTGTGGCCAAGGGGCTGTCGCCATCACCTCAACAAACGTTGCTGTCTTCGTTTTGTTAAGACAGGGTCTTGCTACAGTTCAAGCTGGTCTTGATCTCACTGTGCAGCCCAGGCTGCCCTTGAACTCGCGGTGGTCCTCCTGCTTCAGCTTCCTTGAGTGCTGGGATTACCAGGCGTTGCCATTAACCGAAGCTTCAAACGCTATTTCGACGGCAAGGCCTTTGGACCCTCAGTGCAAGGCTCTTCAGAGCCTTCGTTCCAGGACCGTCTGTAGGCCCCACCTCCTAGACATTCGGTGTCACACACTGCTCAAGGTCTCAGAGACACCAGGCTCTACCTCCCCTTCCACCCCACCCCTTTTGGAAACAAGCTCTTACTGAGTCACTAAGTTGCCCAAGTTGTGCTCAAACTTTTGATCCTCCTGCCTCAGCCTCCCAATGCACTAGGATTACAAGCTCGCCCCGCCATTCCTGGGGACGCTTAAATCACAATTCCGTGTTGGTGGCTGAGGCCGACACTCACGTCTGGTGTTCTAGCTTCCAGCCTTCATGTTGCCAGCTCTGCTGGCCCCCGGACATCTTCCCGCAGACTCTAACCTCCTCTGCATACCTTAATCCCCTCCACCCTCACTGCCTCAGGCTTCCTTAGTTTGTCGTCCTACTACACTTCCTCGGAGTCCTTGTCACATTGTTTGCCTTTCAGTGGCATTCGAAAGGGTGACACAGTGCAGCCCCTGTGCCTGATCCTGGTGGTGAAAGGGTGTCTGACGGGGCAGGGCATGGGCAGGAGAGACAGTGAGGTCTAGGGCCCCAGTGGGCAGCTCCCCGGGGGCTGGCCCAGGCCAGGCCCCTCCCATTTCCTCTCCACTCACGGGGCCCCGTTTAGGCCACCGCGTAGCATCCACAGGCAGAATGAAATGCTCATCTGTTTTCACTCAAGTGCCTCCTGGAACAGGACATACATGGCCTTCTCTCTGAAATAGCCCTGGAGTACTGCAAATGGCCAGTGGTTCACTGCTAGTTTCTGACCACGGACAAAAACAGGGGTGGTTCCACCTCCCGGGGGTGACTCCAGATCTGACATGCTCTCCCTCAGTGCTCCCACCGTCGTTCATGCCTCTGCAGTGGCACCCACTTGACTGTCCCCCGGGCCTGTGATCCCCATCCCTGGTGAGCTCAGTCTTCCAGCATTCTCTCCCCCTACGAAACAGAAACAATTCCAGACACTCCCACCTGCTTCTTCCGATATGCACTGCACCAACCCCAGGGAAGCCCCGAGAGGAGACCTGTGTCATCACCCAGGGTCACCAACGTCCTTGGAGCTGGGCTCTCCCACCCACTGGCCGTGCACTGTGCGACAGTGGGGACACACGTGCTTCTCATGTTGTAGGCTCATTCCCACCACTGCGCTGGAACTATGGGTGACTGGGAACAAGCTTCTTGTCCCTCCATAATTTGGTTATATTACATTAGAAGTAGGAGGGCTTTGCTGAATTCACTTCCAGCCAAGGTCGACTCCAATTAAATTCTTCCCCTCTGAATTACTCACTTGTTCTCTTCAGCAAAGAGTTCCCAGTGCCTCCCTTTTACAATCCTGCCTGAAATACTTGTTATCAGTAGGTGTCCTGAAGCCTGCCCAGCTCCCCTCCTTCCCATGCTTGCAATGAATAAACACTGGATGTCCTTTGTCTTTGTTGCCCAGAGCAGCTTAGAGCAGCCCAAGACCCATCTTCTTCTCAAGTCTCTGTCTGTCTTTGTTCTCTTTCTCTTTCTCAGCTTGCATCATATTGTCTCACAGGAGATCAAGGCCCATTGCAGGGGTCATCGATAATGTGCTCCATAACACCCCACCCTCCTGGGGTCTGCTCAGCACGGTACAAGCAACTAAAAGGAACCTAGAGCTGTTGCCTGTGCCTGAGGTTAACATGTGTCATCACTGACATGGAAAAGGAGAGCCCCCCAGGAAGAGGAGGATGGTCTTGGTGCTGTGCTCTGCACTGCTCCTGTGGAGGATGAGGCAAGGAGGTCGGGCATGACCCACAGGACTTTCCACAACCTCACACTGCCACCACCCTGAAGCGGACATGGAACTAAGGTTCCAACCCTGCCTACTAGGAGTCAGCTCACCTACAGGGACCACACAGGTAAGCCCAGGGGTAAGAGAGGCCAAAGTCAGAGCAGATCAGGAGCTGTGAGAAATCCCAGGTGTGATCTGACCTGGTGTGCATGGTGAGGTGTGGGCAGGAGGCTGCATGACTCAACTCTACAAGAACACAACAGTACCACTGGGCTTTACTCCTCCTTACCTTGGCTGTGGAAGCACTGCGCCCATCTGCAGCAATCGCACTGGGATCAAGGCATGGAGCAGCCTGAACCAAGTAAGAACCACAAGTTCAAGCCCAGCCTGGGCAACTTAGCAACTTGGGGTGGTATCTTAAAAATAGAAAATGAAAGAGGGGTAGTGATGTAGCTCAGGGCAAAGGCCCTGGATTCAATCCCCAAAACCTAACAGTTTTCCTGGTACCTGGACTTTCACCCTAGGATGCGTTCCACACCTGAGCTCCATGGGGCTTCCTTCTGTCCTCTGCACAGCGCTGACGGCCCTGAGAGCTGCATACGATGCCACAGAACCAGGCGTAACTATTTCAAAACAAAGTAATACACTGCATTACAGATCCAACAGAAGCAGACGTTAGAAGAGATGGAGTAAAACTGTAAAAGCCGCTCGAATACACGTATCAATAAGGCATGCATTAGCATAGGAAATGACAATACAGACATAAAAAGAACCAACCAGGAATATTAGGCTTGTAAAACAATAATTGAAATAAAAACACAATAGAGGAAATAAGTACCAAAACAAATACAGAGGAACAAATCAGCAAACTGGAAGAGCAGATTCAGGGAATGTCCACAGAATGTGAAGAAAGGAAAATAAATAAGAAAACAAAAGTGAAGATATAAACACCAGAAACAGGTGCCAACACTTGAGCAACAGGAAACCTAAAATGAGAAATTTCCAGAATGAAACGAAGACAAAAATATTAACAATGAGAAACTTCCCAGAATACAAAGCAGGTTAAATAGTGGAGGTGGATGGAGCGGTGGGAGTGTGACGGAGCTGCTGCCGAGTGCCTCTGTCCTCCCAGGCAGTGACAGTGGGCGCAGTTCCGTGCAGCAAGGCAGGAGCTGCAATCTTGATGCTTGTGGATGAGCAGCGCGTCAGCAGGGGAGGACAGCTGGGAGGTGAGCGGTGCTCAGCAGGCATCCTGAGTGGGAGCTGTGCTAGGTGTAAGGGATGGAGCAGCCCGAGGGCAGCAGACAAGAGTGAGGAGGCAGCACCAAGGAAGGGAGCCTGTACCCAGGGGAGCCCAGCGGGAGGTGAGGGGATCTGATGGCTGCACCGGAGTGTGCCAGCAGGAGTCAGAGCTGGGGTGGACTGCGAGAAGGGGTCCAAACAGCAATGATCTGAAGTGCACGTGCGTTAGCACCAGGGGGCAAAGGAGACCAAGGCATCCTGGGCAAAAGGGAACACGACAGCCAGCAACACTCCAACGCAGTGAACCCAGCCAGGAGCAAGCAGCAGCCTGGGGCTTTCACTTGACTCCCAATGTGGGCAGAGCCCAGCAGGCCCTTTTAGGGACATTTCTAAAAGGTAATAAGCTTGGTAATAAGGTTATAAGTTGCTGGGACACTTGCAGAATACTGTATATGACTTATGCTATCCCTTAATAAAGACTCACTCTGGGTAGTGGAATACAATATCCATACCACATAGGCAGTACAATTCTGGATACGTTATACATCCATCCTCTTTTAGAGATAATACTGCTAACTCTATTCTCCCCAAGAAATCACATGAAAAACCCGCCAATTACTTCATTCCTGCAACATTTTTTGGGTGACCACCACTAATGCTTCAGGCCCTGGGAACAAGGGGATCAAATGTCCCTTGTTGAGTTGGGCAGTGAACACAATCACTTGAAGCCAGCGTCACAGTGCTCACTACTGGAGAGTCATGGGCCTACTGAATACTGGATGATTTTATGGACCCTGGATTTACTCAGCACGTTGGCCACCTTGGCCCAAGTCATTGGATCCCTCCTGCCCCTTTCCCTGTGAACTCAGAGACTTCCCCACTCTGCAAGATGAACAGGTGAGGGACACTCGCTGTGTCCCCCATCTGTCAAGAAACTTGTCACCTAGGCAAAATAAAGATAAACCGTGAGCTTTCTCCCCTCTCTGGCTCCAGCAAGTGGTATGGCCTTGGACAATATGGCTGCTTGGAAAAAGCTGAGCTGCTAGCACCTCGTATCTCTTATGTCCCTGGGTGGCAGATTCATTGCTGGGGCTGCCCTCTCAGAGCCAGAAGATACCTACATACAGAAACTGTTGTGAAATTAAAGGAATCTCAACATAAGGAGGTGGCTGTTGCATGTAATTTTCCTGGCACCCCCCCAAAAAAAACCCCACTATTTTAAAAACTTGGAAGAGAAACTGACCCAGAACAAACTCATCTTGAAGAATGAGTTGACAACTTTGCTTCATTTGTGTCAGTCCCGGGAGGATGTGGAGCTGGCTAAAAATGTCATTCACAGGTACAATGCAGAAAATAGAAATATGACTTTGGGGGAATATAAATTTGGACCAGTTTTCATGAGGTTGTGTTATGAGATCTATCTTGAGAAATCTGCAGCGGAGGTCATTAAAGTCCAGAATTTACGAGGTTTCTTCTCAGACTCCACATCATTCAATATCTGATGGATATGTGGTATTATTAAAGGCAAATATGGAAGTGCATTGGAAGTATTGAGATGAAAACCTGGATGTAAACTTTACCCAAGATATGCACGTCCTTGCTTTTGCAATTTGCTACAAGCTGGACTACTTTGCCCTCATCTGTGAGATCCTTCACGATCACTGAAGCTGCAGTGACATCACCTCCTGCAAATATCCCTTGATTGTGCTGTTTGTACCACATACCGGTACTTACAACTCTGCCAATTATTGTAGATTCCATCCTTCCCACGGGAGCAAGAGTTCCTCAAGGCTTCTTTGTATTCCAGTATCTGACACAGTACCTAGTACCCAGCAAGTTTTTAATAAATGTCTATAAACAATGAAAAAAAAGACAACCTTGTCTTTCAGGGAAATCTTGGGAAATGCTGCTCTGAGGTGCACTGCTGTTTCACTGTGTGAAAGAACAAATGCCCTTGCCCTCCACTTTACAAGAGGCACTCTGAACCCATCAGGTACAGTCCCTGGCCAGCCCAAACCTCAGTGAGTCTTCTGGACCCCGCTGCTCTGGGGCCCTCAGGGCTATGAGCAGTGCAGATCCCCAAAACCATTGACTGAATGTCCAGTCGAGACTTCTTCTCATGTCCAAGGTCTTAACTCTCATTACCAGAAACCCTGCAGGACACAGGAGCCAGATTACAGCTTCAGATTCTCACCACTTAAGATCTTCTGGAATTTTATTGTCAAATCTCTACTATAGAAACAATGAACAAAAAAAAAAGGTAAACGTTTGGGAAATGTATCACTGGAGAGACAGGATGACACAGTGTTTAAAAACATGGCCTGCAGAGCCGCAGTCTCAGCAGGGCTAGTGATCCTGGGACAGGTACCCCCGACTTTCACCACTTCAATCTCCCCAGTCATAATCCTGGGATAACATTATCTACCTCATACAGTTTAGGAAACCAAATTAATATTTGAAAAACATTTAAAACAAAGCCTAGCACTTGGTAAGTTCTACGCTTATAAAACAAAAAATCTTAATGGGGTTCTTGATGAATCTACCAGGTCCTTATCCCTATACACTTTTTAGATCTGCTAGATATGTATACACAATTATGTCCTTTTTATTTCTTCATATTATGTATACTGATGCAGTGTCCACATTTACTATGTAATTTATACTGATCACCTAAAAGAAGTTACAGACTAACTGCCCAACAATGTAGCAATGAGCACACAAAAGACACTGACACTTCGGTGATTTAGTGTCACCTCTGTGCCAACATCACCCTCAGACTTCTACAGACAACCTTTCCACCATTAGTAATTTCATTGACTAGTTGTTTTCTAAAGGCTAATCTTGATCAACAGTAAATATCTCATTCAATACTATACTATTTTTTCTTAAATTCAGATTTAGTATTCTTTATTCTAGCATCTAGACCCTCCTTAAAATAGCAAAATCTATCTGTATTTCTAAAATTATGCACAAATATGAATGTCTCCATCCAATATGCCAGCCTAATGAAAAAACTATTTTCAGTCAAATGCCATTCTTGGTATAGGGTTTTCTTTTAGTGACACACACTGATCTACCTACAGAACTGCTAACAGCACCTACTGAAAGCTGTGTTACTCCCGAATCATGTTCCTTAGGCAGGGATTCCTAGGAGTCATGGGGGGAGTTTAGTTTTCTTCTCTAATTATCTGATGTTGAGTGAGAGCTACAAAACTGCTGTAAGCTTTTACCTATTAATTTCATTCTCAAGTTTCCTACTGAATCATAGAAAGTATTACTGAACTCTTAATTTAAAACTTTCTTTCCCCTCTTATATTCATATTGTATCTTCAACGTGTTATCAAATGTACAATAAAAACTTTCTGATCAGTTCAAGAGCAATTTTCCCTCACTGTGACTCCTCTGGTGCTGAAGCAGGGCCGAGTGACCGCTGAAGGCTCTTCCACAGTCACTGCATATGAAGCGCTTCTGTCCACTGTGCATTCTCTGATGAATAATAAGGGATGAGTTCTTACAGAAAGCCTTCTCACAATGACTGCATTTGTAGGGTTTTTCTCCAGTATGGTTTCTCAGGTGCACAATTAGGGAAGAACTCTCATTAAATGCTTTTCCACATTCATTACACCTATATGGTTTCTCTCCAGTATGAGTTCTCCGATGTGCAATAAGGTGAGAGCTACAGTTAAAGGATCTTTCACACTGATTACATTTATAGGGTTTCTCACCAGTGTGGATTCTCCGATGAGCAACTAGGTGACAGCTCTGACTGAAGGATTTCCCACATTTATTGCATTCATAAGGTTTCTCTCCAGTATGAGTCCTTTGATGTCTAACAAGGTGAGCCATCTGGCTACAAGATTTTCCACACTTATTACATTCATAGGGTTTAATTCCAGAATGAATAATCTCATGTTTAGTGAGAGCTGAGCGTTCCCGAAATGCTTTGCCACATTCCTGGCAGTTATAGGGTTTCTCTCCTGTGTGAGTTCTCTGGTGGGCAATGAGATGGGAGCTCCAGCTGAAGGATTTTCCACACTCTGTACATTTATAGGGTTTTGCTCCAGAGTGAGTTCTCTCATGCTTACTAAGAGCTGAGTAATCCCGAAAAGCTTTTTCACATTCGTCACATTTAAAGGGTTTCTCTCCCGTGTGCATTCTCATGTGAGCAATGAGATGGGAGCTCCAGCTGAATGACTTCCCACATTCCCTACATTCAAATGGTTTCTCTCCAGTATGAGTTCTCTGGTGACCAATGAGATGGGAGTTCCAATTGAAGGACTTTCCACACTCATTACACACATAAGGCTTTTCTCCTGTATGGATTCTCTTGTGTACAATTAGATGAGAATTCCAGCTGAAGGCTTTCCCACATTTGTTACATTCATAGGGTTTTATTCCAGTGTGAGTCCGTTCATGTTTGGTAAGGGCTGAACGATTCCTAAAAACTTTTCCACATTTATCACATTCATAGGGTTTCTCTCCAGCATGAGTTTTCTTATGTTGAATAAGGTAAGAGCTCCAGATGAAAGACGTTCCACATTCATTATACTCATAGGGTTTCTCTGCAGTGTATGTGCTTGTGTGTTGAGTAAGGAATGAATCATATCCAAAGACTTTTTCCCACTCATTGTATTTATATGCTTTCTCTACAGTACCAATTTTTTGATGTTCCATAAAGGATGAGAAGTAAAAGATATTTTCATATTCTTTGTAATCATACTGGTTTTCTCCAATATGAAGTCTTGGGTATTCATTAAATGATGGGCTCTGGTTAAAAATTTGATGGCATTCTTTATATTCATACAGTTTTTCTCCTGTGTGTATTCCTTTAGGATCACCAAAATGTATGATATTATTGAAGGATTTCACAGCATCAGTACATTTGAAAAGATCATCTCCAGTCTGCATTCTTCCAGGATAAACAGCTTGAATGGGTTGGTTAAATGCCTTATCATAATTATTATTGTCACAGGTAATCTTATCTGCGTACATTATGGCTGAGTTATATCTCCAACTTTCAGTCTGCATGTCAGGCTTATAAAAATGTTCTAACTGGGAAACTCTCTGAGATGGAACAAAGTTTAAGGTCTGGCTATACTCTGCCCCAAGTTCACAGAATGCAGAACCTCTTTGAGACAGTACTTGTTTTTGCATGAAGACCATTTGCCTCATAGCTGTACTCTGGTTCATGTGGTACAATTCTAATTGGTCTTTATATCCCAAAACTCCTAATCTGGAGAACCAAGAATCATCCCATAGGCATCTTCCCAACTTCATGCTATGGGGTTGTTCTTCCTCAGAAGCACTCTGTGCTGGAATCAGTGCTTTGCTTTCAAGATTTCTCACCCACTCTGAAACAAGACAGAAAACAGCTGTGAGAGGACAAAGACCTCACAAAAGAACAAGAAAGATGAGATTTACTCTCCATATTATTGAAAGGGCAAGAGTGAATTTTATTCAAGCACAGACTTGGGAGCTAGACAATATTATAATAGAGAAGAGTATAGTAAAAAGTGAACTAACGATAACATAAACACAAAGTGTGTACTGTGAATAATAAAACCCACTGTAGAGTATTTTCCTACAAAAGGGAGGACCAGAAGAATGTACAGGAAAGAATTAACCATTCAGGCATGAGTTGCTCCAGCTTTGCACTACCAAGCCAGCCTACTTCAGAAATGGCCCTAGGCCAATGTGCCTAGGAATTGAGACCTTGAAACATTCTAACTACTAAGAGAGCTTTGTATGCTTAAGGCCTTGAAGTATACTGTACCAATTTCTTTACGTAGTTTATGCAAACACTTTAATTTACACTGAACATGTGCTTTCTTTCTGGGGGTCTGGGAATTCAGTGATCCAAGTCAGTCACATGAGCACTGCATGCATGCATGACAAGTCTAGTAAACATTCTGGACTCCAGGGCTCAGGCAGGTTTTCTAGTTAGCAAACAACCTTAGACATGGCAACCCAGGTCCTTGCTGTGGGAACTAGATGTGTCCTGTGTAACTTCACTAGAAAATCAAGGATAGAAATCAGCACCTGGTTTCCTCTGGACTGACCCTGTGAACCTTCCCTTCACTGATATCACACAGCATTCTTTCACTGTAATGACCTATAGTCCCGAGCTCAATTCGTCCCATGAATGACTCTTCCTAGTAAATCACTGAACCTGGGGTGGTTGTGAGGAACCCTGACAAAAAGATACCGTGAGTGCTATTAAGGTAAAAAGTAAGAAATAAGTCTTAACAGAAGGAGGCCCTTAGTAATGTTTAAATCATTAAATAGTGACCAAATTCACTCCTGTTATGTCATCCCGCTTTTCATCCTGACACTTGCCTGAAAAAAGGAAAGGGCAGGGTTGAGAGGAAGCATCACCAAGTGATACTTCAAGGCAGGGTGTCATCTATAATGAAATGCTGTTACATTATTGTTTTTTATAGAGTCCAGTCAAGAACATAAGATCAGCCACAGCTCAAAGGGCAAGTATCACTATGGTTTGATACTCCTGAGGTTCAAGTCCTCTGAGGCTGCTACTACAGAATCCTCTTTTTTTAAAACACAGGGTCTTGCTAAAGTCATTAAGTTGCCCAGGCTGTGCTTAGATTTGCAATCCTCTTGCCTAAGCCTCCTAGAGGGTGCTGGGATTGCTAGTATGTGCCACCATGCCCAGAATCATTTTAGACTAATTATACAACATTGTATAATTATACAATTATACAATGGACTGGAAGGCAGGCATGGTGGCACAGAAGACCTGTAAAGTGAGTGCTCTAGGAGGTTGAAGCAGAAGGATCACAAGTTCAAGTCTAGCCTGGGCAACTTAGTGAGACCTGTCTCAAAATTAAAAAGTCAAAAAGGGCTGAGGGTGTAGCTCAGGGTGAAGACCCTGGTTTCAATCCCCAAACCTTAAAAAAAAAGTCATGAGTTATCATCCAATCATATGCACTTAAATGCTTGCTCTTGCCATTATCCTAAGTGGACTTTTCTCATGATTGAATGAGACTCTGAAAGTTTGCGGGGGGGGGGGGAAATTAATGAGATATATAAAATTACCGCTGAGGTATCTATCCTCTAATAACTAAGTGTATTAGTTTCCTATGCTATTGTGATAAATTACATCAACCACATTAACTTAGTGGCTTACAATAACACAAAATTATTTTCTTACAGTTCTGGAAGTGAGGAATCTAAAAGGCCTTTTGCTGGGCTACAAGGAAGCTGTCAGCAGAATGTGCACTCTCCAGAGCCTCCAGAGCCTCCTACACACTTCAGCTGACAGCTCCTTCCTCCCTCCTCAGGGCATATCACTCAGCCTCTGACTATCACCACCACTACCTCCACCTCTCCTTTCTGCCTCACTCTTAAAAGGACACTTGTAATTACATTTAGAATCTACCCAGATAAGCCAAGATCATCCTCCCACCTCAAATCTTTAATTTATTTACATCTGAAAATCTTTTTGCCATATAAGGTACCTTTTCACAAACTGGAGATTAGGATGTGGACGTCTGGGGGAAGAGGAATCATTGTTCAGCCTCCCAAAGGTCTAAAGCCCCAGGTACCAAACAGGTACCCAACAGGTACCCCTTGTTCTACACTTTCTGTCTTCACTGTGCACCATTTTCCCCCTTTTATCATCTAAGCACATAAAATAGAGGCTCTACTCAAAAACTGGCACTTACTACAAATTTCAAACTTAGCTCCAAGAAGTCAGTAAAAAATCTTATATTGCTTCCAGAAGAAAGTTAAGATGGCCTCTAACTGCCAAAAAGAAAGGCTGAATGAAACAACTGCACAATTTCATACTCAGCATTTGAATCTTATTGTCCAGCATCAGAGACAAAATGAAAAAGCAGTCTCTTCCTTTAGGAAAGCAGAATCTACATGATGAGAGGACATGCCAGGTAGTAATGAACAACACACATGCAACAGTCATCAAGAAACTTTGAGGTGTGGGCACCAGGAGATTAAGAGCCTTGAAAAGGAGATCAGAACAGATGGAAGCAATCAAGGGTTCACACAAAAGGAACAGCTCTGACAGCAAAGGTGTGATGATGTGACTACATGAGTAAGGACATCGGCTGAGTGAACAATAGGAGATGATTCAGAAATGTGAAAAAAATAACAGAAAAAGCACAAAGTCTTAAAATCTGGCTTCATTTAAAAAGCAACTAAAATCACTGTAGGTTTACTGACAGGAATCTCAAACAGAAGATTTCACTGATACAAGTGAGAATTTCCTCATCATGCTGAGACGGAATCTTATGAAGGAAGGGCCTGAGGGTGATGTCAACAGAAGCCGAACATCACAGCCAAAGTTCCAGAGAGAGAAAATCATGGGAGTTTGAAGAAAGATCACTTTTTAACTAAAAAGGATCAAGAAGTCTAAAAGACTTCTTAATCTACAGTGGAGGGACTGGCAGAACTAGTACCAGGGTCACCACTCAAGAATACAAGGAAACATCCATGAGTAAGGGACAAGGTTTCTAGTTCTGTCTACTGAGATCAGGACAATGGAGATTCTTCATAAAAGTACCAAAGCATAAGAAGACACAGGGCTCAGGGTAATGAGAATGTTCAGCACACAGAGTACAAAGACTGAAGCTCCTGAATTCACAAGCTCTTGAAGGAAGCTTCAGATCTAGATACAGGACAACAAGAAGGACATTATATTCACTAGAGTAGATGGGGAGACTTCCTACTGCAGGACTCAAGAAGAGGTGTGATGCAATGTCAAGTCAAAAGCCGTAGGAAGCCAGGCACAGTGGCATGGGCCTTTCATTCCATCTACTTGGGAGGCTGAGGCAGGATCAAAAGTTGAAAGCCAGCAATGGAGAACTTAGCAAGATCATGTCTCAAAATAACACAGAAAGGGCTAGGAATATCATTCAGTGGTAGAGGACTTGCTTAGCATACACAAAGCCCTGGGTTAAATCCCCAGTACAGAAATATACACAAACAAAATATATTACATTACGCTACCGTTAGAAAAGTCAAAAGTAGCTACAAATCCATGTGTGCTTGTAGCTACCTAAAGAAGTACTGTAAGCGTATAATAGAAATGCAAAATGGGATTATCCGTGGTTGGATGTCACTACAAATGGCAAAAGAACTGAACAGTTTCAACCTCCATAAAAGCAATTTAAAAATTGGCAAAACTGTCAGAATCAATTTTTTTAGAAATTGTGTAAATCAACCAACTTGGAAGTAATAAAAAAGAAAAACAACTGGATTTCAATAAGGACAGTGAGCTCTGTGGCTTCTTAACAATGTATCTTAGAACTACTGCTGGCTTCCCAGCTCACCAGTAACCTTGAAAAAAAATAAAATAAAAGCCCACATTTCCAGCACTGTAGTAGGAAGAAGAGAAACATCAATCCAAGAAGCAGTCATCCCTGGGTCTACCTGGGGTTCCCAAGGTCAGCCTGCTAGAAAGGCCTCTTTGTTTACCTGTAGAAACTCTCATGGGGCTAAGGCCTCCACGAGGAGGATCTTGTCAAACATTACAAGTAATGCTTCAAAGTCCCTGCAGCACACGCACCAGAAAGAGGACAAGAAAATCTGAGGAACAAGATAAGATGTCCATGAGGCATCCTTACAAAGCTGCAACCACGGAGGCCTCAAATAATCAATTTCACTGTTAAAAGCGAAAGTACTGAAAGCAACAAGACACAAGCAACTCCTCATACACCAGGAATCCTCAGTAAAGATATCAGCTTATCCCTCAACAGACACCTGCAAGGCCAGAAAGGAAAAACTGTCCGCTAAGAATTTACATCCAGCAATACCATCCCTCAAAAAGGAAGGACAAATCGAGAGATTCCCAGATGAACAAAACCTGAGAGTCTCTTGCTAACATATCTGACTCACAGAAATGCTAACAGGAGTCCTCAGGCTGAAAGAACACCAACAGTCACTCAAAATAAAAAAAAGAGTGTCAACAAAGGATACCGCACAGATAATATAACGAAGTAACATAAACACATTTTTTTGTTTGTAAAGCTTTTTGGACCTGATTTAAAAATAACAACATAGGGCCAGGGATTTAGCTCAGTGGTTCTGCTGCCTGCCTAGAAAGCACAAGGTCCCAAGTTCGAGCCCTGGTAAAAAAAAAAAAAAAAAAGCCAAAACAATAACAAACTAATAATCATAAATCTGTGTTGGCCACTGTATAAAAATGAAATTTATAACAATACCAGCATAAAAGGAGGATAGATCTATATGGAAGCAAAGTTTCTAAATACTATCAAAATTAAACTGATATTACTCCAATGAGATTGTTATAAATTGAGATGTTGGCCAGGTGTAATGGTGCACACCAGTAATTCCAGCACTCAGGAGGCTGAGGCAAGAGGAACATGAGTTTGATACCAGCCAGGGCTTTATACCAAATATGAAGCCAGCCTTGGACTACATACTGAGACCCTGTCTATAACAAGAAAACCCTAATAAACAAATAAAATTGAGATTTTAATTATAATTCCCAGGACAAGCACTAAAAAAAAAAACCTAAAAAATGTATACTACAAGAAAACAATTACCAGGGGATAGTGGTACATGCCTGGAACCTCAACACCCTGGGAAGCTGAGGCAGGAAGAATGCAAGACCATGGACTTAGCAAGACCCTGCCTCAAAGTAAAATAAGTAGGGCTGGGGATTTAGCTCAGTGGTTCTACCACCTGCCTCACAAGTGCAAGGACCCACGTTTGATCCCCAGTACCAAAAAAATAAATAAGTAAATAAAGACCTTGGGATGCAGCACATCGGGAAAAGCATGGGTTCATTTCTCAGTACAAGGAGTGGGGGAAGGGGATCAGGACAGAGAGGAGAAAAGGAAGGGGGAGGAGAGGAAGAGGGAGGAGAAAAGAAGGAAGACAGGAAGGCAGGCAGGCAGATGGAAAAAAAGACAGACCGATGAATGGATGGGTAGAGGGAGCAAGGATGGAGTACTACCTGTGTGTTACTCTGTGTGACTACTCACAGGTAAGAGTACTTTGGATAGGAAGTATAAATGAGATTTTTTTTTTTCCAGCTTGAACATTTTACAAAGCTTTGAGGTTTTTGAATTATATGATTACCTGAGAAAAAATTTTTAATGTTTATTGCCTTTAGAAAGAAAGGTTTCTAGCCACAGTCTACCATTTTGCAAGAGGAAAGAAGAAAAAGCTTACAAGTAGGTAAATGACCAAGAAGTCACCTCAAAGAGAGACCAGTAGTACACACGAGTGGTGTGGAGAGCAGCGGCCAAGGGGAGCTGGGCAGAACTGGTACCCTGCTAACTTGGGTCTTTCCTTGACCCAGCAGAAGGAAGTAGCCTCACTGGGAGTTCTGGACCCACCTGAGCAGGTACATCCTTCCGCCTCAGCCCACTTTCCAGGAAGCAGTGCTCTGGGGAAGCTCCTTGCCCATCCCAGCCTGCCCTCACCTGGACAAGAGCTCCGAGGATGCACAGGCTCCACAAACCACGGCTCCTCTCCTTGCTCCAACAGGGAGATGACGTCAGGCTTAGCAATCTGGTGCCCTACACAAGGAGGAAATGCGGACTTGTGTCAATACAACTTTGGGGCATCCTAAAAAGGCTCCCCTTGTCCATCTTCCCCATGGGTCCCCAGGTAAGCAGACAATGCAGGCATCACAAGCACTAGCAACCCCATTCATTCCTCAGCCTCAGAACTCAGGCCCACCCCTCCCACAGTGTTGCAGAGGCCTTTGGCAGGAGCAGCTTGTGTACCCTGCAGGGCTACCTCACCCACAGACAGCAGGTGCCCAAAGGTCTCCAGCATCACGTCTCGGTACAGCATCCTCTGTGTAGGATCCAGCTGCCCCCACTCCTCCTGGGTGAAGTCCACGGCCACATCCCGGAAGGTCACTGGCTCCTAGAACAGCACAGGGTTCCCCTCAGCCTGGGGTATAATGAGCCCCAGGCAGGGATAGAAGGGATGGAGTGGGCAAATAAGACACAGCCAGGACTCCCTGAGGACCTCTGAGACCATAACGGTTTGGATCCTGATCTAACAAATCAAATGTAAGAGGACATTCTGGAGACAAGTGAGGAAAACTGCACATGGAGTAAGAAACACATGTCAACTGTGCTGGCTCTGATAAAGCTGTGGCTGTGTTCTGAAAAGTATGTATATCAGTGAGTCAGGTTGTTGGCTCACAGTTCTGAGATTTCCTGGTCAATGGGGTCCACTGCTTCAGGCCTGCAGTGAGGCAGAAACCTCCTGGCACAAGGGCGTGATGGAGGAAAGCTGCTCACCTTGTGGAACTGGGAAGCAGAGGGCAGAGGAGGAACCTGCGCTGCAGCCTCCCTTCTACTTGTGTTTCATCAGAGTCCCCCAATCCTGGATGGTGCTGCCCACACACATGGAAGGCACCCGGATCACGGTCCTCAGGGCAATCTCTGGAAATACCCTCACACACCAGAAGTGTGCTTCATTAATGTCTTAGTCCAGTGACAGCAAACCTTTTAGAGCTTCCAATGACAAGAAACAGCCTGCTGCGGCACTTGTGTGCTCACCATCCTAGGCACTTCCCCATCCAATCAATTTGGCAGGAGGAAGCACCACGGTCTGTCAGACATACTAACTACACATAAAGAAGTACTCACAGGGGAAATGGTACAACTCTGACATCTGCTCCAAAGTATTCCAGTTTAACAAAAAGGCTGTGATAAAACAAATGAAAGGCAGTGAGCTGAAAGCAGAAGTTGCTGAAGTTGTGAGTGGGATGCCTGTGAAAGGCCAAGTACAGCTAGACAAGATCCACACTCTGACCCTCAAATCTATGACTGCAACCTGAACAATGAGAAGGACTTTACAGATGGGACAAGCTAAAGATATCAACATGGGAAGATTATCCGAGCATGCAGGGAACCCAAAGGAATCATACGAGGGATACAAGGATGAAAACAGAAGTCTCAGCCATGTGCTTTCAAGATGGAGGAGGTGAGTCGAGGCAGCAATGACAGCAAAACAGCAGATTCTCACCTAGTCCACCTGCTGGGACCCAGCCCTACACTCATCTGAAGACTCCCACATTCCAGAGCAAGAGAATAACATGTTGTTTGAGGCCACAAAATCTGTAGTAGTGTTACAACAGCAAAAGAAAACTAAAACAGATTATGTTCTACTCTGGGGTCCAAAAATCTCCCAAATAAAAATTAAACAAAACTAAACTAAGAAGAGATACCCAACCAGTCATGAGAACAAGCCAGCAGTGCCAGGAGTCACACAAACCCCTGCTGGAACTGCTGAGCTACCAGCAGAGTGGGGGCCCCTGCCCCACATTCCAAGACGGGCTTGGCAGCACAGAGCCTTCCACAGGGGTGGGCTAGGGTGAGAGCCAGGGTGGAGACAGATGAGCACAAAGCATGTGTGCAGGACAGCTGTGCCAGCACCCACCCACCACACAGGCAGCACTGTCCTGAGGCCTGTGCAAAAGCTCCAGGGACCTTCCAGACTCACAGTGGGGGAGCTTTCAGGCTCCTGGGTGAGCCAAGCCCTGCCCCTGTCCAGCACAGGTGGGGTGTCTGTGGCCTGGAGACTGCAAGCAGCACCTGACCAGCCTTGGATCCCAGAGGAGGACCTAAGGGGAGGGTAACAGGCAAGCAATGGTCAGCAATCAGCAAGGCAGGACTCACGAACCAACAGACCAGAAGAGCCCAGACACAACAGACACCTGCCATGTAGGCATACATGGACCTCAGTGGCCAAGAGAACAGGGAATTCAGACAGCAGCTGCATTCAATCTCTAACACACTGTATATCCTACCCTAAGGCTCTCAGCCCTGAGAGGCTGTGATGCAAAATGGGCAGAGGGCTACAGGGAAGACTTTCTGGGAAAATAAGAAATGACCCACAGAACATGAAAGAGAAGGTTGGGCATGGTGGTGCATGCCTGTAATCCGAGCTACTTGGGAGGCTGAAGCAAGAGGATCACAAGTTCAAGGACAGTCTGGGCAATTTAAGTGAGACTCTGTCTCAAAAATAGTTAAAAAGCATGAAGGGTGCAGCTCAGCACTAAAGTGCTTGCCTAATATGCATGAGGCCCTTTTCCAATCCTCAGGATTAAAAAGAAAAATAAATAACAGATATTGATACAGATAGATATATGTACAGATATACAGCTATGGAATGAGGAGGTATGGTTGTGAGAATGTGACTGCCAAAATTTCTACCCTCTTCCCAAGAAAAGGACACGGAATATGGAGGGAGGTCAGAAAACAGTTTACTCAGGAGGCCCGCCACCCAGTGGAAGACTGCACAAAGACAATGTGAAGGAAAAGGAGGGTTTTTAAAAATAATACAACACACTCAAAATACGACACAAAACATTACCATAATCATATATTTGCAAAACATATTAATGTTTGACAAAACACATATTTGACAAAAACATACCACAAATTAAGATGAGCTACAGAATGGGAGATGATAATTCATATATGCCAAAAAATCAGGATCCGGAATGCACATAATAGTTACATACCAGGCAAGCCAGTCTAGAAATCAAAGGATGGGCACTAAGAGAGAAAAGAGACACAAATATCCAACAAAGACATCGTAAGATATTCAACCTCACTAGCAATCAGGGATAGCAATCAGGGATATTCACATGAATGTAATTCAGTATACTTCTCTGGTCTCAAGGTAAGCAAAAATTAAGACCTGATAGCGTCAAGTACCAGCAAGGATGCTAGGAAATGGGCTTTCTCCTCCTGAGACTGGGCAAGACTGTGACCCTTCCAAGAGCCACCTGGCAGCACTAGTAATATTGAGAAAACCCAGCAGAATTCTTTTCTGGGGCACGCCAACTCACACACACACACATGCAGAGTATAAAACCATGGGAACACCACACAGGGCAGGGGACTAACAAGCCCACCCAAAGAGGGACACACAGCACCCAAGTCTGGCGGGTACCACCTGGAGTGTACAAGGAACGAACCTGGCCTACGCCATCAATGTAGGGAGACCTCAAAGTTGCACAAAGGTTTTTAAAACGCTACATGTAGAGGGGAAATGTAAAAAGAAGAAGAAAAAAAAAAAAGAGACAGTGTACCTATATCTACATACAAAAATGAAAGTGGATTATGTCACAATGAATCCATGATCAGCTGCTCTGGTAAGGGGTGACAAAGCAACGGAAGATTACATAAAAATGGAAAACAGCTGGTGCAGTGGTGCACACTGTGATCCCAGATTCTTGGAAGGCTGATGCAAGACAATTACAAATTCAAAGGCAGCTTGAGCAACACAGATACTCAAAATTTTAAAAAAGATACTCAGCAGTTCACCTCCACACCCTGTACCACCACAGTAATGATGATAAAGAGAAAAAGAAAACAAATACAATATGGGATTCAGTTACAACTACTTTTTACTTTTCTATAATTAAAGAACTGGCCAAAATAAAATTTAAAACACTTCCAGGATTTTAAAAAATGTCATCAAACTGGGAAGCCTATGGACTGAAGAGCAAGACTCCCCACGTTGAGCCAAACATTGCCCAATGCTGGGTCCATGCAGCCTCACCTGAGAGATCACAGAAGACCAAGCACCTGCTTAGAACTGAAAATGGAAGGCTACAGGGAAAACAGCAGTCTCTGGAGACAAGTGGGACCCTCCAAGCACAGGAAACAAGCTTGTCTGCAACCCTATCTTCTGGGGTGAGGAGGTAGAGGACCCGGGAGCACCACTGTCAAGGATTCACAGTAACCTCAAAGCTGAACCTACATTTTCCCGTCAGATGCCTCACCCAGTTCTGTAAACGTCCTTGCACATATAAGTGTGCACACGGTATGCCTCTAGGCACTTAAAACACTTCCTGGGACCTTACACACCAGCCACATGTTTAAACCCTCGTGAAGACTGGAAGGAGGCCAAGGCCAAGGTGTCTCCCCAGTGGAGTCTTGCTTGATTGTCTGAGGTTCTTGACTGTTCAGTACATCATGGAACCTGGGCAATTTAGAAGGCTTCTCAAAAGATAATTTCAGTATTTTAGTGCAATTTCTTTACAGAGAAGAAAAATGCATCTAGATTGTACACATTATGGAGAATGCCCAAGAATAGGTGTGGAGTATTACTAGTGTTTCACTACACATTTATCACACCAATATTCTTGATGGATTATTAGAAGGGTTTGAAGCATTTCTGTATTTGGAGAGGATGGGGTTTTTAGCTCCAATGGGATATTATCATTCGTATTTTCCCCTAGTCTTTGAAATAATAGGATCTAGAATCCTGCTAGCTAAAACCTCACTACTTAACATGTTTCCAAGGATGGACTATTCAGATGAGGGATGACAGCACCTTATATTTTCACCACATGAATGCTTTATTTCAATGAATATTTAACTTGGAAAGAACCACAAAGGGACAGAGGCTCATTCATGTTCCTAAAGACACTGCTTAATTAAAAACTGACATGATTCAAGTGTGAGTTTCCCACAAGGGAAATTTAAGAATGAACGTGGGGAAGGAGCCAGGACTGTTTTCAGAAATCACAACTCTTCAGACATTAGAAACTGTTGTTATTTTGTTTTATTTTCTCAGCATTACTCTAACCATCCAGATAACCTTATGGAAACTAGCAGTAGAGTGCAGCATCACAGTTAACCCGGCTTCTTAATGGAATCTGCTTGTCACTAACTTCTGCTCCCAAGTTACTGAAGTGGGGTGCACCCTTCAGCCTAACCTAGCTCCCCTGCTGATCCTGTAAAATCACTAGGTTATCACAATGCAGGAGGCTCAGTCTCTAGCTCTAAACAGGAACCCACCCCCGCCTCATTCCTTTCAGCCTTCTGCTTCCTGGGTACAGCACACTTACAAGGCAGCACTTCACCTGTCAACTTTGGAACTGTAGGACATTATATTAATTTTTGTTTAATTAGGGGGAAGCATAAAATAGAGATGTTATTTTTTAAAATTTTTCTATTACAGTATCTCATAATTGCATGATTCCTTATTTTAACTTACCAAGAAAAGACCTAAGCACTCTTTCTTTCCCTTTCATAGCAGGAAGTCAACAGAGACAATATAAATCTGATGAAATATGAAAAACTGGATGTGAAACCTCCCATTTAGAAGCATGAAGATAACCTTAAAATACTGAAAACAAGTTAAAATGGTTATACTTTCATCTTGAAAATAAAATCCTGATGCAGATTACACCACCAGCTGACCCTCAAAAACATCATGCTAAGTGAAAGAAGGCAGACACAGAAGGCCAGATACTATATGATTCCACTTATATGAAATGCTCAAAATAGGCATATCCATAGAAAGTAGATTCATGGTTGCCAGAGGCAGTGAGAAGAGAGCAGGGAGTGTCTACCGATGCATACAGGACATCTTTCGGGGGTGAGAAAAATGCTGTAGAATCAGATACTGTTGATAGGTGTACAAGTCTGGGAATACAATGAAAACCAATGAACTGTATACATTCCAAAGGTTAAACTCACGGTATATGGGTACCTCGATAAAGTCACTATAAGAACCTGACATGAACGTTGCAAACTTTCACAGGTGTGCTGTAGCAGACTCACTTTATCAGCTTATGAAGTAATCCAACTTATGAACAATTCTCCCAGAAAGGAACGCATTTGTAAGTAAGGGACTTAATGTATTAGGAATTTCTTTTTAAAGGGCTGTCTCTGGTGAGGAGGCTATGCAGAGAGAGGAAGGAAAGGACACCTGACCTATCTCTCCAGAGCCATCCTTGTGCCCACCCACCCAAGACCAAAAGCCCTGCCTCGACTCCCTATGTCTCTGATCTCCCCAGCCCCAGCCCTGACCAGTCTGGAGCCTGAAAAGTCAGCAGCTACCACAGCCCCTCCTCTCCACATCTCACAACCACATCCTGGACCATGGAGCCTCGACTGCCAACACTTCTCGGGCTCCAGATTCACCAGGACAGAGCAAGGCCTGCAGCAGGCATCTCCAGCCTAAAATCTACAGGGGCCACTCTTCACCTGGGCCCCGGCTATGCCATGCACCCTCTCTCCTACATACCTGTGGGGGTGCTGTAGGAGGCCAGACCCCTGCTCACCAGACTGTGCCCATCTGCTGGCACATCGCCTTCATCTCCTGGCTACGGTCTCACAGGCAGCCCCCATCTACTGTGAATGGATCCCTGTGGCTGTGCCCTCACTGCCCTCTGTGTAGACTCTATCCTATCCCTGGACTGAGCTGCTGCAGGACTTGGGGCTTCCCTCCACATCTCCCACAGAGCATGTGCAGCCCCAGACCAGCTGTGAGGCATCATTAGCTGAGCAAATGACCCTGGAAGAGGGGCTGGGTGGTACCCAGGATAAAGACTGACACCTGTCCTTGCTCCCGTCACAGCATGAAGTTCACTGCTGAACATGAGCTTGAGTAAGGAACTGAATGTTTAAGACAGGAGGTAGAAAGAGGGGGCTGCTGGCCACAAAGACTGTCCTTCAACCCCCACAAATGACCTATGGCACAAATGGGACAGCTATGTCATGAATACAATAAAGTCAGGGGCTTCCTGTAGTAGCTCTACTGAGGTACCCATATACCGTAAGTTTTACCTTGGGAATGTGTACAGTTCATTGGTTTTCAGTGTATTCACAGACACAGATGTGCCCAAGGTCAGCACTGGGGACAGGCTGATTGCCAGCAGAGCCCTAGGTCATGGAAAACTGACTGAATTCTCTCTGCCTGCACTCAGGAAGCACACACCTCCCGTTGATTCCTTCTCTAGCCAAACTCTTGTGGTTGTAAACTGAGGCACCACATCAACTGGGATGGCCAGGGACAACGTGCACATCCATCCCTGGGGAACACAATAGCCCCTGGGAGAGAATAGAGCCCCGTCTCACCTGGACCTGGGCTGTTAGGAGCCCAGCTGCACTTCTCCCCTCCTCAGGGGTCCCCTCCACACGCCACACGGGGTCCTGAGGACAGAGAGCTGGCAAACAAAAAAGAAGACATGGAGGCAACTTCCTGAAGAAGCCCCACCCCACAAGCCCTTCAACCTGGGTTACTGAGGAACAGCCCTGGCCCTCTCCTCAAAGGTAAGGAAGAATCCACTTCCCTGTCCTACTAAGGTCAGGAACATACCATGTGAATCCCTCACCCTGTGCTATGAAGGCAGTGTCTGATCACAGGCTTCCTGGGACTGAGCCCTGAATGACCACATATTAACTCCCCCTCACCCTGTCCTGGAGATAATATTATCACTGCTTTCATCTCTCAGGGGAGTTTTCTGACCACTGTGTGTCCCTACTCTGCACAGATACATCTGGACACCAACTCCCTACACTAAAAATCCACCTGACCCCCAGCTCAGATCCCCAGATATGGCAATCACTGCAAGAACACAGAAGCCCATACGGCAAAGACACAGGTTCTTGACTCACCCCAGGAGGCCCAAGGGTCAACTGCTGCCATCCCCCAGGACTGGTCCATAAGTGCACCTGCACAGAAGAATCAGGTTAGGACTGTGACACCAAACCTATTGATGGAAGATAATAAAATGGAAAAGGTGACTGTCTCACTACTGGGGAGGACAAGCTCCATAAAAAACAGCCAAGGGTATGTGAAGAATCCAACAGAAGATGCACAGGTGGACCAGTGTCAGGAAAGGTTCTGATATGGTGTAGGCACGAGACAATTAAAAACAGAGCCTTTTATATGGCTGAAAAAGTGTCTGGTAAGATGTAACAGCATCTAATTATTTTTAAATGTACTAGCATAATAATCTTGATGTCTTTAGTGATGAAACCTCATTTAAAGAGAGAGTAAAATGACATCCACTATCATTTAAAATTGTTTTTAAATTACAGATCAATATACTATGTAAGTGAATACAACAGTAAAAGTAAAAAAAATACAGCATAATTGAAAAGGCACATTGACTGTAAGTGTGATTCTCTTCTAAAAAACCCCACTAATCACTGGAAAATCTCTCAGAGCTAATGACACTTCTCAAAAGCCACTTTTCAGGAGCTAACTATAAAATATAAAAAAGTTATGCAGTCTTTTATGAAAGTAATTTTCCCCCTTCATGACCAACCATTGCTATTTCTGCTGCCCAATCACTTCGGGTACTAAGACAAATAGAGCCTCTCTTCTCCATCCCAAAAAGCCCTCAGCACCTCCTCAGATCCTCAGCCAAGGGAAGTTCTGGAAAAAGAAGATTCCAACTCACCCCATGAGCTCCAGGGGTTGATGGCTGCCATTCTGAGAACTGATCAACCAGGCTCCAGCCTAGGATCACAGCAAGTGCCAACCTAAAGATCAAAGTGGGAAAGACAAAACTGGTCCTTTCTCTTGTAAGATCCACGGAGAACAAAGAAGAGAACCCATCCATGGAAACAACAAAGACTCCTGGGAAGCTTTAGAAGAAAACATAATTTGCATATCAAAACATGCCAGAATTCCTGAAAAGAAATAAACGATAATTACAATAAGCTAAACAAAAAAGGGTACAATCCTGGGAGAGGGCGAAAAGTGTGAGTCATCCACTCCCACTGGGGAGCCAGTCACTCAGAAGTTACCAAAGGACTTGACAAAAACTCTTTTACTACTACCTGCAATGCTCATGCAATCGCGGTCCAGAACTGGGGCAGGGAAATTGGGAGCGACCGGTCTCCATGGGAGCAGGGTTTCTTCTGGGATGAAAACGTTCTGGACTTAGGCCGTGCAGACGGCTGCATAATTTTATGAATATGCAAGGAGACCACTGAACTGCGGTGCAAAGTGGTTGCAGCGGTGGACGTGACTACACAAACGTTACCTCAAGACACCGCACCTGCGGCCTCCCGGCGCACGCGTGGAGTCGGCCGCGTCCCAGTCGGCCCAGACACCGCCTC